AACACATAATTGTACTCAAAAACAAAACAACGTAAAAACTTTAGAGCTTACAAGTCCACTCAGTGCTACTTCTTGTTCAGCCAAAGGTTAAGACAAACAAGTTCGTTTACATTTACAAGAGATAATGCTGCCCACTTTTTATTTATAATGTCACCTGAAAGTGAGAACTGGTATTCGCATGGCACTGTGGTAGCTGGTGTTGCAAGATATGCTAAATATTCAAATGCCCCTTCATGCTTTGACCACCATTCCAGAGGACATGCTTCCATGCTGATGGGTTCTGCTCGATAACAATCCAAAGCAGTGCGGGCTGATGCACCTTCATTTTCATCATCTGAGTCAGATGCCACCAGCACAAAGTTGATTTTCTTTTTTGGTGGTTTCTGTAGTTTCTGCATCGGAGTGTTGCTCTTTTAAGACTTCTGAGAGCATTTTCCACATCTAGTCCCTCTCAGTTTTTGGAAGGCACTTCAGATTCTTAAACCTTGGGTCGAATGCTGTAGCTATCTTAAGTGCTGGTTTACACTACTGCTTAAGTCAATGTAACTTATGTTGCTCAGCAGTGTGAAAAAGACACCCCCTTGAGCGATGCAACTTACAGTGACCTAAGCGCGGTCCACACCAGCATTATGTTGGTGGGAGACGCTCTCCCACTGACATAGCTTCTGCCACTCACAGAGGTGGAGTAATTATGCTGACAGTAGATACTTTGTCAGCATAGCGCGTCTTCACCAAACGTGCTACAGCAGCAAAGCTGCATAGGTGAAGCTGCGCCGATGTAGTGCTGTCGTGTAGACTTGCCCTTAGAAATCTCACTATTGGTACCTTCTTTGCATTTTGTCAAGTCTGCAGTGAACATGTTCTTAAATTGAACATGTGCTGGGTCGTCATCAGAGACTGCCAGAACACAAAATATATGGCAGAATGCAGGTAAAGCCACAGAGCAGGAGACCTATAATTCAGCCCCAAGGAGTTGAGTCACAAATTTAATTAACACATTTTTTTAACAAGCATCATCAGCATGGAACCACGTCCTCTGGAATGGTGACCGAAGCATGAAGGGGCATACAAATGTTTAGCATACCTGGCACATAAATAACTTGCAATGCTGGCTACAAAAGTGCCATGCGAATGCCTGTTCTCACTTTCAGGTGACATTGTAAATAAGTGGGCATCATTATCTCCCACAAATGTAGACAAAACTTGTTTGTCTTAGCGATTGGCTGAACAAGAAGTAGGACTGAGTGGACTTGTAGGCTCTAAAGTTTTACATTGTTTCATTTTTGAGTGCAGTTATGTAACAAAAAATATATACATTTGTAAGTTGCACTTTCACAATAAAGAGATTGCATTTGGATGAGGTAAATTATTTCCTTTGTTTATCTTTTTACAGTGCAAATATTTGTAATAAAAAATCATATAAAGTTAGCACTGTACACTTTGTATTCTGTGTTGTAATTGCAATCAATATATTCAAAAGGTAGAAAACTTTCAATTGGTATTCTATTATTGTTTAACAGTGTGATTAAAACTGCGATTAATCACGATTATTTTCTTAATCAAATTTGTTTTGAGTTAATTGCTTGTTAATTGAGTTAACTGTGATTAATTGACAGCCCTAGTTACAATGCATAAAACCATTTTTATTTAGGCACATAATTGGTAGTTATACACACAGTGATGCTACGTCTTTAATTAGCTAATAACCTATAGCAGTGGTATTCAATTACATTTTCTAGATGGCCAGATAAGGCAATGTCCAAATCTTGGTGGGCCAAAAGGCAATCACTAGGACCAAAGGATTTTGCTCTCTATTGGGCTGCAGCATGCCCCTCACCTTCCAAGCAGGGGGCAGCTCTAGGGGTTCTTCACCCCCCTTCTCGCTTCCGAGGCTGGGCATTACAGGGAGGGAGTGAGTGGGGAGAAGCCATTCCTGCTTGCTGGAAGGGAGAAGGGAAGAGGGTGTGGAGCTGCAGGGTTCTTTGTTTAGTCTTCCTCTCCTGTGAGCAGGAATGGCTTCTCTGCACCTCCCTTCCTGTGAGAATAGAGGCTAAGCTCCTGAGGGAAGAGAGACTGAGATCAGCTGCTTGTGGAGCAGCTGTGATTGGCTGCTGCTTCCCAGGAGGCATGAACGGGGAGCAGACACCCGGCAGTAGACTGAACAGAAGCCCCTCCCAAGTCAGAACTGGCCTGCAGGCTGCCAGTTGAAGAAGAATGAAGTAAATGATCCATATTTTTGGGGTGTCCTCAAAATCCAAGGACCCAGGCTGCAGTCCCTAACGTCCCTGTGTTAATCCAGCCCTGACTGTCACTAATGAACACTGCTATTGTGGGTGCAGGCAGGGCCGGCTCCAGGCACCAGCCCACCAAGCTTGTGCTTGGGGCGGCACCTGGAGGGGGGCGGCGCGGTGCTCCGGCTCCGGCCGCCGGAGAGAGCGGGGCCACGGCCGGGGCTCGCCGCCCTCCCCCCGGCGCTCTGGCCGCCCTCCCCTGCCGCGCTGGGGGGGGGTGGGGGGCGGCGGCCGGAGGCTTTTTTTGCCTGGGGCGGCAAAAATGCCAGAGCCGGCCCTGGGTGCAGGCTTGGAACATCCACATTTAACCCTAGGGAGTAATGAAGGCCTGAACAATTCCGTACCCTTATGGTTTGGACTCCCCTGTTCATAACTCCTGTCTGCACTTGGGAAATGTTTCAAGAATTTCCCAACCTTGTTAACAGATTCACCATAATTGATGTTAGCAAAGCTAAGAGCCATCATGTGGACAGGCCAATAACTACAGGTTAGATCCATTCTGAGGGGGATAGGTGGCTGTGCTTATAACATCAGTGTCAGCTGGAGGCCTGTCTACATTATGGCTTTCAAAGCTGCTAATACTGGTAGCACTGAACTGGCATGAGCAACAGTAGGAAATTGTTTGAAAAACACCCCTAATACAGACAGAACCTGACAAACAATGATGTAAGAAATACAAGTTTAAAAAAAAAAAAAAGAGTGCCTCCCCACAGCAGACTGGATGCAAAATTGTGTTTTGCAAGCACTGCAATTATCGTATAAAAAACTTTTAAAGTAGTTACATTCAGGATAAAGAAAATAGACCTGAATATAGAAAATATATTTATGTATCAAGCCAGACAATTTGTATTTCTAAGCAAAAACAATGACGTTTCAGGCAATAATATTTGTGTTTTACAAACCTTAATAATAATGCTGAGTGTTTAGATATCACGTTGCATCTTCACAGAACTTTTCAAACATTACCTAAATGAAGCCTTACTGTATGCTTGGAAGGTATTATCATACCCATTTTAACAGACGGAGAAGTTAAGTGATTTGCCCAAGGTCATAGAAAAAGTAAGTATTGGAGCAAGGATTAGTACTCAAGGGTTCCTGGATCCCAGCCCTGCTCACATCTCCGTTTGTCCTTACTGAAACAATTATGAATTGGGGGTGGGGTGAAGGAGTGACTTGCCTGTAAATTCTCGTCATAGAGGAGCAATAGGTGATCCATTCAGACTCATTCTTCATGCTTTCCATGGAGTGGCTGGAATTGAATAAGCTTTATCTGTATATTCTGGTCAGCTGTGAAGACCATTGAGGTACCAACTTTTAAGAATGAAAGTTACATATAACAATTCAAGTGTGGGGCAATTATTTTTGTTAAGTCTTATAAAACGAATATTTTCAAAATAGAGAAAAGGAAAGCATGTTATATTAACAGCTTATTGAGTGCACCATGTTAAATACATGGGGAGGAAAGGTAATTTTTATTAAAACATTCTAAGTGTAGGAAGTGACTTACATATATTTTTAATAGATTTTAGAAAACCCAATATTTGCCCTCTTAACAGCACACCTATCGGGGGGGAAGAGAGAAGAGAAGAAAATTGCATAGTATTTGGAATCTTGAACGTTACCTGGTCACATGACAAGACGCAGGACGCAGACATTTCATTTAACGCTAATAGTTCACTACTGAGTAAATCATTCAAAACTTAAATTGCAAGTAGTTGTGATCCACAGTGCCACCTTGTGTTATACCTTGGTATTGAACAACTTAGATTTCACATTGAGATAGCCAATCTTTATAATGGTGAGTTGGGTCTTCGTTAATCTTTTAGATTTCAGTGTAATGGTATTCTTTAGTGCATTATATAGCACAAAGGACTGATGAGGACAAGAATCATTTCATTTTTACATAACTGGGTAAAACTTAGCCCTGTTTGGCACAGACCAAAAGCTGTTCCCATTTGACTGCTGTTTGAGTCTGGTTTTAACTCTCCATGCATGGCCCACCAGTTATCCAAAATAATTGGCTTTAATTAGTAGAATTGTTTGTAGCTCTAATAGAGAAACCAGGTAGTGGGTGTGCATGAGAAGTGTCTTCATTTTAATAAGCAGCCCCTCAAGGATAAGGTGAGATATAATGGCTGAGCAAGGGTGGAGAGTCTGTACTGTTTTTATCTGTGCTGTGTCTCATCTACAGACAAAGAGAAGATTTCAGTCTCTAGGGCTATCATTCCACAGCCACTTTCATAAGCACTAAATTTACATAACAGTATCTTCAATCAAATCAGAACCTTGAGTTATTCCTTCAAGCTAAAAAAGACATTGGTGATCTGTACTATTGTTATTTAACATTTGTATTGTGGTAGCATGGAAGCCATACCATATACCGTATTTTCTACCGTAGTGTTAAAGCTTTGTGTAGTTTCTCTCCTCACATAATATCTATTGAAAGAGAGGTATCAGAGTGCTTGTATAATCCATGGTATGAATTCCAACATTTGCAAGAGTACACCACACTTACAGCAGATAGCGTGCATACTGCTATTGGATGGGTTCAATACAAGTGTTCATAGACACAAACACTAAATCACACAGGGCTCTCATTGACAATCTTATCCAAGACGCATTTACATTTAGAAGAGTCTAGCTTACTCACCAGTCCCTTTCTGTTCCTCCACTCCCTGTCCCCAAGCAGAAAAAAGCAAGACACAAGCCTTCTGCCATACTAATGTATTCCATCTTTCAAAAAGAAAGACATGATTTTAATATTACTTAACAATATGTTAAAAAAGTAGCCAGTTAGGCTTCAGTGTTAATACAATTATACTCTCTATAACAGATTTGATAGTGTGAGTATTGTTCTTTTTTAAACGTTCTCATTCTGCAAGTATTCTTACACAAGCTGGCTACAAGTCAGGAAAAAATCAAAACACAAATAGCGTAACTTGTACACTCTTTAACAGTAGATTGTGAAAGAACTGAGGAAATGCTTGTCCCATGAGAGCCTCTTTTTCATGAAACCGTGTCAGGAGAGTTCTGGAGCAGATGAAAGCGCAACTGACTAGGTCCATTCCTTTGTCAGAAGTCAGAATGACAAAACATAGCTAGATGCAGAAGTGACAGGAGCCACTGCAGATGATGCAAACTAGTATTTTGGCCTCCACCCAAGCCTAGGAAGCAGGTTTAAAGTCTTTGAGGCCAAGGCAATCAGAAGGAGTTGGAAAAAAAAAAAGCTATTGTTCCAACTCCAACAGCATACAGCTACAATCAAGTAAGTCTCACTCACAGACTACAAGCACACAAGCTAACAAATTCAGGTAGAAAGTGGCAATTTCTCAGTCTGCAAGAACTATCAGGCCAAGGGGTTCAGTGCAGATCCACACAGCACTGGGGACAAGGCAAGGCAGCACTGGCTCAAGACCAGATAAGCTCTCAGCACAACAGGACAGATAAGTGGAGTTGTCTTTCATTGATTCCTGCAGGGTTCCCTCCCCAAACTGTGTCATTTCAATGAGCAGCAAAGGTGGTTTTTTTCAAGCTAAAATTGGACCAGTTGATGGAAAGTCTCTGCCTTGTCTGTCTGGCAGAGTCCAAGCAGAATCTGTAAACAAAACAAGCAAGAGATAAAGTGAAACCGCTATACTGCTTACCAACAAAAAGATACAAATATTAGTTTGCATTTAAATAGCATCTTTAATCCCAACGGACCATAAAACACTGTAAATCACACACAGAGGAAACACTTCATCACCACTGAAATATAACTATTGCTGGTGTGGAATATACCAACCATTTTAACAGTCCACAATAACACTAACATTTAAGAGACATAGTGAAGACTACTGCATTCAACAAAGAATAGGAAGGACTAAGGCAAACAAAATGTTATTATCCAAACTGGAATCTGGTTAGACACTGAGCCAACACTCCTATTTTTACAAACAAAAAAACCCCACCCCAATATAAAATAATTAATGAACTTAAGTGGTCAGTGCCTCTGCTTTACATATCATCTGTATTCAGGACACCATTACCCCTATACAGTGGTCCTCCCCTGACTGTAGAGAATCTGTACTTTTAAAAGCTATGTTTCAGACACAAATGAACGCCATGAGAAAGTATCCAGGAAGTGGCTGAAACTAGGACAAAGATAATAGTCCATTTGTCTGGATAAAAGTAAAAAACAAAAAAATTATCTACCAAGTTTCATTGGACATATAGTTCATGAAAGAGACAATGTTTCAAGAACAACTCAATAGAACAGGTAAGCATGTATTCCAACGATTGTTAATGTGTATCTGTGTCCTATATCAAAGGCAAGCTATATTCTCCATTGAGAGTGATTGTGTAATTCTTAGCATTTGTGGTAGTTACATGTGAGCATCAAGAGAACACTCACAAAAGTAGTATCTAGTTCCTCTTTGGTGTGCTAAATTGCTTTCACTAAAGGTACATCTACACTGCTATGGCTGTGATGCTGTAGTATCATAGTACAGAAGCTTCCTACATTGATGGATGGGGGTTTTCTGTTGATGCAGGTAATCCACCTCTCAGCGGTGGTAGATAGTGTTGACCTGGTCAATCTACACTGGGTGTTAGGTCTACTTAACTACAGGGCTCAGGGCGTTACATTTTTCATAGCCCCGAATGATGTAGCTAGGTTGACTGAGTTTTAGGTGTAGATCAGGCCTAAGAATTAAAGTCCACGGAAGAGAGGGAACACAATGAGAGAGGCAAGGCAAAAGTTACACTACAAGGACTAAGCTTTTATTTAACCTGGAATAGAGGAGATTTAATGGCAACTTGCTAGAGAAATTCCAAAATGGGGATAAAGTGACACTACATTAAAGAGGCAGTAAAAAGTACCAGTTACACAACTCCTAGTCAGCTTGTACAGTTCATTGCTGTAGTACAGTTCATTGCTAGAAATTGCTAAAGAGTACTGACAAACTGTATAACAATATTTGTAACTGGATTTTCTATGAATTCTGACTGATTCAGGCAGTACTCTCCATTATATCTATAAAAGGAAAATCTCTGAAACATAATTTTTTTTAAAGTGATAGAAAATTAGTGAGCCCATTAAATGTGTCTTCTTGGTGTAAGTGGATAACTTGCCAGAGTTCAGAGGAAATTGTACAAAGTGTTCAGATACCATGGTGATCAACAGTTTAGTTTTTTAAACAGACAGCACTGAACAGATAGCTAGGTGCATTGTGGGAAAGTTTTAGTCTTCCTCCAAAGTAATAAGTAATGTCAGTGATGGAGGCAGAATAGCAGATGCCATAGATAAATGTCTGTTCCTGTATGGCAACTACATATTATTGGCTCTTGTCTGGTTCTCCATGTTCTGTGCTAAGGCCACATGACTATAATTTCTACCCATAAAGCTATAGCTTTGACGCTCATTACAGTAACCAGGCTTTTATGCAAAGAGTTAATTGTTTTCATTTCCATCACATATATTAAGCAACACAACAGGCGTATATGCAGAGTTGATAGCACTTTTATTTACCTTTTAAAATACTCCACTTCCCGTTCTGTCTCATCCAGTTCCACACTGTCTAGGTCGATGTCTTTGGGCAGAAACACATCATCTGCAAAATGGAAAGATACACCAAATTAGTTTCAGTTGGCTGTTTTACTCTAGAAGAAAAAAAAAATTTGGACAGACTGAAGGGAGGTCTCTGAGGACTGCTTAGCCTTTGTATACTTCTTTTGGCTGAAGGCTTAAAAAACTAAACAACTTATTTCCAATAGCAAAGACAAAAAGGAATGGGCAGCAGATTGACTCTTCACATTGATTACAAAACATTCCACAGGACTGACCCAGGCAAGAGAGAGTTCAATTATAGAACAGACTGGGAAACTGAAGAGCTGATCAGCCAGCAAGGGTTACTCGGAGTGAAAAATATACAATAATTGGCTGCCTGAACTTGTTAGCCTCATCACCCTCCGATGAATCTATACACCCAAGAGGCAGTTTTTGCAACAATCTAATTCACATTTGATTTAAAAATACTTTGGGAGATGGTTTTTTGCAGTATTGATAATACTGGCCCTGGGTCATAGTGTATGAAACCAGAATAATGATATAGCTATGATTGTGATCTTCTGTGTTTTTATCATGATTAACATCCATATTTAAACATTGTCTGACCTCAGAACCTATTTAGGATATATAAAGAAATAGTGCTGGCCCAGGATGGAATGCTTTAAAAAACCCACAGTTCATTATGACTTTATCTAGACTAGTTTTTGGTCAGGCTGTAACTCAAGTTAACTAACATGATTTGAATGCTAATCTAAACATAAGAACGGCCATACTGGGTCAGACTAATGATTCAATCTAGCTCAGTATTCTGTCTTCCCACAATGGCCAATACCAGATGCTTCAAAGGGAATGAACAGAATAGGGCAAATATCAAGTGATCCATCCCTGACATCCAATCCCAGCTTCTGGTAGTCAGAGGCTTAGGGACACCCAGAACATGGGATTGCATCCTGACTATCCTGGCTAATAGTCTTTGATGGACCTATCCTCCAAGAACGTATCTAATTCCTTTTTTGAACCCAGTTATACTTTTGGCCTTCACATCATCCCCTGGCAACGAGTTCCACAGGTTGACTGTGTGTTCTGTGATTAAGTACTTCCTTTTGTTTGTTTTAAACCTACTGCCTATTAATTTCATCAGGTGACCCCTGGTTCTTGTATTATGCAAAGTGGTAAATAACACTTTCTAATACACTTTCTCTACACCATTCATCATTTTATAGACCTCTATCATAGCCCCCTTTAGTGGTTTCTTTTCCAAGCTGTACAGTCCCAATCTTTTTAATCTCTCCTCATATTGAAGCTGTTATATACCCTTAATCATTTTTTGCTGCCCTTCCCTGTATCTTTTCCATTTCTAATATATATTTTTTTGAGATGGGGCCACCAGAACTGCACGAAGTATTCAAGATGTCGTCTTATCATGGATTTATACAGCAGTATTATGATTTACTGTCTTATTATCTATCCCACTCCACAATAATTTGTTCCTGGTCATGGTTCAGTTTACACGGTGCTGAAGCATGATATGGAACGAGTGCTTGTGAAACATGTAGCACTAAAACTACATTAGTTAACTTCAGTTAATCGGCAATCGATTAACTTTGGAACAACATGACCAAGAACTCCCACTCTAAACAAAGCCCACGAGTAATCGGAGATTCATAGGGCTGAAACTGATGGCTGAATCCAGAATAAGAACAGATCAGGGTATAGCTTCTAAATAGTTATAATATTAATGGATGCCTCATTTGTTCTGCACTAGTCCAGGTTCTTCAAAGAATAATTACAGAACAAAATTACTGCTTTGTAAAACAGGGCCCGTGTCCGATTATTTTTTCTGAAAGTGATTTTACATTTAAAAAGAAGTACTTGGTCTAAGGAGAAAACAATAGAAATAGATAATATGTTGCAGAGGCCGCCCTCCCCTTCCTGCCCCTCCCCCCCGCCAACCACCTCCCAGGGTATAGATTAGAGCTGCACAAAATGTTTCAGATGAATACTTCATTCACCAAACATTCCCCGCCCCCCGGCTGTTTTGGTCAACTGAAAACTAATTTCCTGAATTTAGCCTAATTAGCTTCATGAATGTGCATGTGTGCCATTTAGCCCAGTGCTTAAGGCATATGGCTGGTATATGGGAAACCCAGGTTTGAATCCACACTCTGGAGCAGAGACTTCAACTCAGATCTCCCAGCTCCCAGGTGAGCATACTAACTAGAGCTATTCTAGAGTGGGTTCCCCACAATCTCTCCTGCTGAAGCTGTTTCTCTTTGTATAGTATAGATATTTAAATATTCACTGGGCCAGAGAGACAGAACGACTCTACAGCCTAATGATTAAGATACTTACCGGTAACAGGGAGAAAGGATATATGGATTAATATCGTTCCTCTGAATCAGCCAGAGAGAAGATTCGTTAGGACAAAAACATGTTTCATTTCTTATACAACCATGCTACGGCATATGCTTTGTTAGATTTAGAGGGCATTAAAAGAATTTGGTCCAGTCTACCCTTCCAGATTTAATTGTATCTTAACCATGGTTGGAGACTACTGTTGTTGACTATAATGTTGTTTCTACAGGAATTGAGCCTACACAATGACTTTATGTTACAATTTAATTTTGCTTGTCTAAAAAGTCTCTCTCCATGTAATCTAAGTAAATATGCTAAAAACTAACAGCAACAACAGACTTTAAGGTCTTCTTGTTAGCACAGATCCTTGCGCTGCATCTTTCAAGACAACTGGCTGCCAAAAGGGCTGAGAAGAAAACTCTCTAATCCTCCTCCTTCTAATACCCCAGTTAAAACTCTGTCATGATGCCTACAGAATCTTGGTATATTATCATTGGAAGTTTTTAAGAACAGGTTAGATAAACACTTGTTAGGGATGTCTGAAGCATATTTGGTCCTGCCTCAGTGCAGGGGTCTGGACTACATGACCTCCCGAGGTCCCCTCCAACCCTACATTTTGATGATTCTATGATAATCAGCAGGTGCTCTGAGCTACTGAATAGTGAATCTGTAAACTGTATTTGGAACAACATGCGGTCAGCAAACAAGCCAAGCAAGAGTTCACTACTCGTAATTTTCCACATGCTCCTAATTCAGGTCTTAAAATGGAGATAAAATGAAATTAGGAAGGGTGAAAAGATAATTCCAACTTAAAAGATGGGTTTTAAAATGGAGATAATTGGAAGAAGGATAGGCAAGCTTCATTGTCTTAGAAAATGATTATTAAAATAGTAGGACTGGATCAGTAGGCAAACTTGAGGGAAGACACTAGTGCTGCTTCCAGTGAGGGATCCCTTCTCATTTAACAAAGCATCATTTAACACAGAATGAGAGTACTGGAGAGATGCTGTCTGGTTCACAGAAGGGTAAACTTCGAAGGCTAGAGATTTAGTTACCTGTTAAATTACATGAGACTCTTCTCTAGCTTTGACAGTCTGGAAAATCCTGGGGTACCCAGGGGGTTTCATGGTTATTTACTCCAGTCTCTCCCTTTTTTAGAGCAACTTTTGAAGCTGCTACAAAAATGTGCAAAATTAAAGTCTCCCTGTTTTAAATCTACTATGAACAAGCCTGTGTTTGGATAAAAACTAACTGGAGAATTGCTTTCCTTATTTATTATTTGTATGATCACAGCACCTAGGAGCCCTAGTCCAGGACCAGGACCAGGACCCAACTGTGCTCAATTAGGTAGCAAGAAGATTTGAATCCATGTCTCCTACCTCCTAGGGGAGAGCCTTTATCACTAGGCTTCGGAGTCACAGTCACTCTGTCTTTGGCCCAATAAATGCTTAGGTACACAAAGTGAAATAGCTTCAAAAGAAGAGAATGAGAACATCCCACCCCAGAATACCTTATAGATTAATGGTTAGGATGCTTACCTGGGAGGAGAGATATCTGAGCTGATGTTCCTGCTCCAGGATGGGGATTCAAAGCTGGGTGTCCCAGGAAAATGCCCTAACCACTGGACTAAAGGTTACAGACACACAACTTAGTCCAGTGTTTAGGGCATTTGTGTTGAACATGCACAAAGTTTGCTGACAAATTCCAAACATTTCTGGAATCGAAGCAAATTTTTCCCGATTTTTCACTTGGCTGGCTGAAGCAAAAAATTCAATTATTCACCCAGCTCTATTATAGAGCCTTCCACACCTTCCAGTTCCTCACCAGTAGTGATAATTAATTCCCATCAAATATATCTAGGAGGAGGAAGAGAGGTGACATGGTCTATGATTCTCCTCTTCAAAATGGAGAAGGATAGTATGCACAGAAGGGTGGGAAATAAAGGAGTTAGGGAAGTGAGGCCAATGTGAAGGGAAAGAAAAAACAAAACCCAACCCCCAACAAACTATAACTAGATGTGCAGGGAAGGGAAACAAAAGGGTCAAGGAATGGGAAGAATCAGAGAGATCTGAGGTAGTTTCATTCAATCCCAGCATAAGACCACTGAAAACAAACCTGGGCTCCTCATCCAGCACTCATGATCACCATGCATTTGTTCTGTGCTCTGGTAATGAAACTTACAATAATTCAGTTTTGTGAAGTGCTGGAAACATACCCCACACCACCCTCCAAGGATCTCCAGTTTTAATCTGTAGAATACTAAAGGGAGCTGCAAGGATGAAATACACAAATGCTAAAATTAAGTGCCATTATGCCACAGAGGCTTAGTTCAAGCACTGCTATCACACAGCTATTTATAGATCTATGGAAAATTAGTTGGTATTCTCAGCCCAACTCCATGTAGACAAGTGTCCATATCTCTAAATTAGTAGTCTCAGCAAAGACTGAAGAGACAGATTCTGAACTATGCTAGCACATGGAGGTGGTATTCCGGGTAGCATGTTTGCAGGGCACTGTGGGGAAGCTTGCACTGCACCTGCTCATGATATGCCTGTTCTGAGTAGAAAGGGAAACTAAAGTAATCTGGTTACCTGTACGTTTTTAGAAGTGCTAAAAATCACTTTATGAAAAGAATTATACATCTTTCCATCTTGTGTGAGGAATATAGTGACATGCCTTATAATTAATAATTTCTTAGCATGGAAAAATGCATAAAATACACGTAGGAAGCAATTCTTATCTGGTGTGTGTTATTTGGATGGCAAACTTTCACAATATATTATTTTACTTCACAGTATCTTTACTCATTGTGAATGCATAGTGAAACTGTAGTGGAATAAAATGAAATACTAAACTTGCTTATAATCACCTTTACAGCACAGAGATGTTCTATGGAGAAAGATTTTTTTTTAAAGTGAAATCAATGTATGTATAACTAACTCTTCCCTGCCTGCAGAATCCTGTGCTCTATGGTTTACCATGTGATATGACAGTGACTGGTTTTAGACTCTATATTCCTACTGATTCAATCCTCCTATCATAGTAGAGATTAATATTAAAAACATGCTTTAAAAATAGTTAAAGAGTTTCTCCAAAATGGGTTTTGTCATCAAAATATCCAGTAATTATATTTCAAGTCTGTCACTTCATATAGGCCTTATGAAAGAGATGGTACTTGTATCCTATTGTTTAGTTGACTCAAAGTGTATGATAGGGATACAAAACACTACTAGTTGTAATAATCTCTTACATGTTTTTCCATACTTATTATTCCATAGTGGTTAGCTATTTGCATCTCTATTATTAATACTGAACATGAGATTAAACATCAATGCTAAGAGCACAGAAAAAATTGCATAATTAACTAAAAATGTCATTATAGTGACCGACTCAACAGATGAAGGAGATCGGATTCTCCTCTCACACCTGTTTAACATCAGTGAGTTACTCCCAATTTACACTGACATGAGTGATTGGAGAGCTGTCCCAAAATTTTGAAACTAATCTATATGAAAAATTATTAGTTATGCACTTACCTATGGAATTGTTGACTTTGTCTCCCTTCTTCTTCTTGTTTTTCTTGTTCTTGCCTTTTGGCTGAGGAGATTCTGCAAGTATCAGTTTATTGTTTTGTTGCTGCTCACTTGGAGAAGGGGACTCACACACTACAGGTGTTTTCTCTTCCTTTAGGTGATTCAGCTGCTTTTTGTTATTATTACTGCTTGTTTTTTTCTCCTCTTTTTTCGGTTCTGCAAGCAGCGAGAGCTCTGCTGCTTTCACTTTGGATTCTATTTGGTTTCTGGTCTTAGACTGTATCTCTGTTGCTTTGGGGGATTCAGTAGGCTTTTTCATTTGTTCAGCACAGGGTTTGTTTATTTGCTTTAGTTTTTGTTTACTATTACCTTCTTTATGATGATGCATTATATCAAAGAGAAAAGACAGGGGCTCATGCTGTTTCACACTCATCTCTTTCTGGAAAAGCAACTTTGAGTCTCTAGTGTTTGTGGGATCAGATAGTTCACAGACCATCTCAGGAGTTGGCCTCTGTTCCACATGATTTACATGCCTAGACAGTGAACTAGATGAGGTTTCTACCTTTTCTGATTGCTCAAGTATACCATTCTGAATGTCTTCTGGTGGATTTGGGATTGATTCCTTCACTGCCTGGCAGTTTCGAGTAAGCATTTCCATCTTCTGACAGTCTTTACTTGTTCTGTCTTTTTTCTTTTTCTTTACAGCCTGTAACTGCTGAAGTTCTTGAAGTCGTTGCAGCTCCTGTTTTAGTCTTTCTTCCTCCTCCTCTTCCCGCTGTCTCTGCTCTTCAAGCAACTGATGATGCTCCCTCTCTTTGGCTTCTGCTTCAAGACGAGCCTTTTCTTCTAGCTACAAAAGCAGCAGTTTATTAAATAAAGGACAAAGATTCTAAGAACTAGACATTTGGGAAAAGATCTTCATCTCAACAGCTAATTCCTAAACATTCCATGTTACAAGGATGTGTTAAGGAATTTTAAAAGTCACAGGGTTTGTCTACACTACCCGCTGGATTGGCGGGCAGCAATCAATCCAATGGGAGTCGATTTATCACATCCAGTATAGACGCAATAAATCAACCACTGAGCGCTCTCCCATCGACTCCGGTACTCCACCAGAACGAGGAGCACAAGCGGAGTCAACGGGAGAGCATCAGCTGTTGACTTACCACAGTGAAGACACCGTGGTAAGTAGATTTAAGTACGTCGACTTCGCGGTAGTGTAGATAAGCCCACAGTATGGAACATAAATGTACCCCTCAAGAATAGTATTAGAATGGGCAAACAATTTAAAATGAACACACTTAGCAGCTACCTACAGATATTGTTCATGAAACTATAGCACATTTTCTATTTACAATAACTTGCATTGTGCTCAATATAAAGCAGGAAAAAAGCATGTTTCAGCTCATTTTTGTAACAACACTAAAGAGACAATATCAACTGAGTGCACAACTGTATATCCTTCATAATATTATCACAAGCAAGAATAGGTCGCTGAGGTAGATAAAGGCTGGGTGTGCATATATAGTACCAATAGGTGTAAATATGACAAGAAACATGACAGTGTTATTCCTGACCACAAAGAGGCCCTTCTCCTGAAAATCCAGTGAACGCACCTAGATAAAGGTATTATGCATATTACTAAAGTGGATCACACCCCTTTTTTCAGTATTGTTTTTATAATATTAAAAGCATAGTATTCCACTGAACATTTGACAAATTGATACGAAAATATGCTCTTAATTGGAAAATTCCACAGTAGTTTAAATTTTAAACAACCATCAATAAAAATAATGTCATCCAGTAACCCTATATGAGAATCACAGTCCTTTTTACTTGTACATTATGAAGCAAATTAACACTAAAGTTGTAAAAAATAAAAAGACGGTCATTCATTATTAATTTTTAAAAATGGTTTACTTGATTACTAATTCACAATGGGTCTTCCCAGTTATTACTGAAAAGAATGAAGGTTTTATTGTGCTAAGTTTGCTTACCTCTCTCAATTAAATTACGAGCAGTAGCTCCTTGCACAGTGCCATTTGCTAGTTGACAGCCAGATCTCGCAAAAATTGTGTGAATTTTTGGAAGCGCTTATATGGGACCCATTCATTTTAAGAGATTAGCAAGTTTTGGGGGGTTTTTTTGGGGGGGGGGGGGTTCTTGCAAAAAAAATCCTACAAAATCTTCTGATTCTTTTCTTCTGGAGTACACAGCACTGTATTTGCATGATTTGTGTTTTTAAAATGAATTAATGGACAGTGTTAAAAACAAGCAGTTTAAAGAAAACTACTTCTTAACTTTGGGACTTATGAAAAAATAGTCTGTTTTTCATTAGTATGGCGTATGTTAAAAACAACTTTGGCACCCCCACTAAATACCCCAAACCACAAATTTATAACAAAATATAATAATCCAAATATGCAAAGTAAAGTATCAACTAAAATGTGGACTATTTAGTGAGCTTATAAAATTTATTTTCCAGATTTCAAACACACACAGTAACTTAAGCCTTATTTTGAACCTGTATATCCTGAAGTTGGTGTGTGAAGATATCAACTCAACAAGAGACCCAGATTTTCTGTTTATTAAGACAAAAATTTAACCATTTTCCTGTAATCCCTCACAACCAAACCTTCACAATTTTTGAAGGACATTATTCCATATATTTCCTCTTTTTTTGCCAACTGGCATTTAAAAGCTAGCTAAGTTCAGACTTCATACTGCAATTTCATGAGTTAGTTGGGGTTGGTCCTGCTTTGAGCAGAGGGTTGGACTAGATAACCTCCTGAGGTCTCTTCCAACTCTAATCTTCTATGATTCCATGAATGTTTACCCTCCAGCCAACCAGGGAGACCTTGGGTCTTCACTCAACCTGTCTTTAATTCCACTTAGACCACAGTAGAGGGTGCCACAGAGCAGCTTCTAAATCCAGTAGAGGGTGCCCAAATTACTTACAAATCTGGAGTCTCCTCCACATCAGCACAGACATACTGCTCCTATGCTACATGGTTGAAGGAACATTTTAATGGAGCTGACTGATGTCCTAGTAAAGAATGCTAGATTTTTACATCCACCCATTATTAATGTGTCACATTAATGCACTCCAGGATGGTTACCCAAAGATCCTGAAATTTTTGACACTAAGAAATACCCCCTTTGATGATGTGCAGTTCTAATATGTAATTTACTTGCAATAAAAAAAAAAAAAAAAAAAAAGGGGTGGGGGCTATGATATACTGGTATATCCTCTGAGAGTAAAAAAAACGTAGATATCTTTCAAAACAGCACCATGACTATACCCACCAGACTAAACCAGCTGTGTGATATACCTGTATACTACAGGCTACATCAATGGCAGTTTAAAATCAGTATTGCATATTCAATCAGTAGTCTGCCATTCAAAATGATGCCGATGGAAAGTTTCACACAAATACCTATATACACAATGCCTTTATAAATTCAAGTTAGATAATATATGACAAATATGGGTCTGTTTCTTACCTTTCTTTGCTTATGTCTCGCTCGCTTGGCTGCCCGAGAGCTGCTTACTGGTTTGGTCTCAGAGCTATTTATGAATTGTAGCAAGTCTTCCACTTTTCGATGGTCAACTACACTCTCTCTTTCAGAAATCTGGTCTGGTTTCTTCGGCTGCTCCTCTTTCCTCTTTGTCAAACGTAAGCGAAGTTTTTCCCTCATTTCTGCATAATTTCTACTGGTTGGTGCAGCTGGTGGCTAATGGCCATAAGAGGGGGAAAAAAAATACAGTAACCTGGCTTGGAAGTTTCACAGTACAGCTTAGAATTTTGCAATATGAAGTTTCAGATAGTGCATAAACAATACCAACTCCCAATGCTAGTTGTGTGCACATGCAATACATATGCAACAGACAACAGTATCACAACAGACCTGTTTGTTTACTTTCATCTTGTAGTGGAAGAGGTGGGTGGGGGGATATCAAATGCCAGCAGAGGAGTTTCCAGTTATGGGTCAGGAATTAGTTATGGTGGTTCACAGATAATCAAATGTAATTTGAAAAAGGAGCAAGTCTTTGCTGCCACTGTTTTCCATGTAAATATTTAGTGGTAGGGAAAAAAAGTAAGCCACCACCACCACCGCTTTCATGCAGTTATTTGTTTGACTTTAGGCTAAAACTATAGCCCAATCCAGTAAGCTGGGTTAGTTGTCACTTTGAATTGTCTTTATTGCTATACAATGTAGGTAGTAATGGCTGATTTTGTTTTAATACCCAGAAGCATAGTTTTTACCCCAAAATGGGAAAAGCGTCAGACACTCCATGAAGTCCACTATGTACTTAACTATTATTACAGATTCTACATGGAAGATAATTAGCTACCATGGTAATGGATGTCTGTGTAAATCCCTAAAATAGATTGCCACATTAAAAGTATCTATTTCAATTTGTAAAAACTGCAATTAAACAGAACTTTTAAAACGTTCACGTTTGCTGCATATGCAAGGAGTATGCACTTAAGTCTTCAGATTCCCATTGACTTAAACACGCTTGAGTCAAACACTCAGTACTGAAGAAAAGCAGCCAAAAGAAAGAGATCCCATAGCCAATTAATAAGTATTAAAGCTTTATTATTACTTCAAAACGCCTTTTAAGTTGGTCAAGTCAGTGTTTTAGTGCACTTTTCTTACAATTCCGAAAAATAATTCACTAATAAGTATATTTGTAATACTAAGAATTAGGAAACTTTTTTTTAAATTTAAAGAAGCGTTTTAAAGCTTTGCTCGTACTAGATGATGCCAGCTCACCAAAAAAAAGGCATTTGGTAGTTAAAACAAACCCTTTAAAGCTTCAGAATTGGTCACAGAGTTATATAAATTAGACATGCAGATTTCAAGTGCCAAGAAGGTGCTGGATAGATTTTGTGGCAAGAATGTTTTGAAGTGCAGTGCTCTTTTACTCAATGTCATCTCATTACTTATAGATATATACATACGAACAAGCCTAAATAACTTGATTTCATCCCAGAGACAATGTGGCTGAGGTAATATCTTTTATTGGACCAACCTCTGCTGGTGAGAGAGACAATCTTCTGAGCCATATACAGCTCTTCTTACACTTTACGATTACTCATACATGGCTACAAGATACCCATTTTAGCCATCATGAAACCAGCCTAAGCACCTATTGTTAATCTTTTCTCCAAGTTGACCTCCTCCTAAATCCTCATTTGTTGCTTTCTCTTGAATTACTTCCAGCTGAGCAATCACGTTAGGTATTTTTAGATGCACAAATTTCCCAGTTTAAATTTTATTTTCTACCCTTATATTGAACCTCTCTATCTCCATCCCTTTCTATTATTTCTCTGTTCTTAGCGTATCACAAAGGTGGCCAGAGTACAATCACCCTATTTCACAGATTTAACAGAGGTTAATTAATTTGCTTAAGTTCACACAGCTGGAAATTTGCCTAAATTCACACAGTGCTGGAAATCTAGCTGTGAAATAGTTTTGTCGTCACTAGCTTATTTTAGTGCTTCTTAAACAATGCTTTAGAATGCATTTTCTATCTACCAAACTCCCACCTTTGCAGTAAGCTGATTATAAGATACCCGATTAAAATTTACAGTTTAAAATGAAAAAGGAATTTACGGTCATTTATTTTTACTATTACTAATATTACAGCCAATTAGATAATATTACAACAAGCAACAGATGACAGCACACTTGAAAACAGTTACTCTTATTAAAATCATTAAACAAAACTTACTCCTCCATGACCGAAGAACTCACAGTAGCAACAGTCACAGTATTTTCCTTCTTTCTGATTTGTGGATGTTGAGGTACTGGAGCTATGCTCTGAACAGCTGTCTTCATCTTGGCTCTCCTCTCCATCATACTGCTGATGATCATACGTATTACTGTTCTCACAGCGATGGCCCTCACAGTCAGGATCACTGTGTTAAAGAAAACGGAGGGTTTATTACAATATAATAAAAAAGAAACCTATTATATCTGTATATATAGAGAGAGATATATGCGAATCAGAAGCAGCAGTTCTCAAACTGTGGGATGTGCATCACCCGAAAACCTATTCTAGCAGTCTGCAGAACTGTATGTTCAAAACCAAGCAATGAGACTAGGGTGTTTTAAGGGGAGATGGCTCCATAAAATGCTCATGAAGTGGTCCACTGAATGAGTAAAGTGGAGAATCACTGTTTAGAGAAATCCATCCTGGTCTAAAAGGTATACTTGTATTCATAATCTGGAAAATAGTTATTTTTATTTCTTAAATGAAAGTGATTCACAAACTGTGGTCTATGGATCACTGATGGTCAGCAGAGCTGGTTGGTCACACAGTATTTGCTTTCCTTGTCTCCCCCCCTTGCTTCTACAGGTGTCCAAGCTCTTTACTACAAACAAGAGTCTCAAGATCAGCTGAAAACAAGGAGCAGACAGTGATCCAACTAGTCCAGTATCAAGTGTCTCAGAAGAAGGGATAAAACTCTGCAGGAGGCAATTATAAAATAATTTAGCCCAGGGAAAGTTTATTCACCAAGAAACACAGGTTGATTTATGTCCTTAAATATTTAAAATAACCTTCATGCTTATAACTTTGCATATGCATGTAATACACGTAAGTGCCCAATCCTTTTTGATTTCTGCTAAGCTCTTGTCCTCAAAGATCGCAAAAGTGAGTTCCGTAAGGTAACTATACATAGTGTGAAAAAAGTACTTATAATTAATGTCTCATTATGAGAAACTGTAAAATGCAGTGCATGTTCTACATGTTCTATGTTCTTTATTTAACTCTTCTCAAGGTGAACAGTCCCAATCTTTTCACCATCTCTTCATACTGATTTTTTTTCCCATGTCTCTTACCATTCTCATCACCTGTCTCTGAACCCCCTCTACTTCAACTATATCCTTTTTAGATGGGATAACAGAACTGAACAAAGTTTTCCCGGTGAGGGTGTACAACTGATTCATATAACAGCATGATATTTTCTGTTTTTTTCTCCATTCCATTTCCTACACATCCTAATATTATTTGCATTACAGCAGCACCTCGTGCTAACAGAAATTTGGGTTCTATTGCACTAGACTAGGTAACCTATACTCAAAGAAACATTTCTGTTTTGATTGCAAAGAATCATTTTTATACGTCACTAATTTCTCTAGTTCAAACAGCAGTAATACAAAGCTAGCCAGATGTTACAAAGCTAACTTTTTTTTAAATTATTATATATATATAT